CCCACAATGGCACAGATCCGAGACACAAATTGCCTACTCCGGGAGCTGTCTCCTCAGCTAGCAGCTCAGCATAAGCAACACACGTACACAACAGTCGGTCGTCCGATGGAAGGAAGAAAGTGCATATCCAGATGAGACGCACACTAGGGCGGGTTTTGTTTTGTAAACGCTATGCACCAACACAGCTTGCAAAAATGGATTCGCTGTCCCGAGGTCGAATTATGCGAACTTCGAATGCTGTCGCTCTTTGGATTTGGAGGGTTTGGATGAACATTTGTACCCGAAAAAAATGTATCATGCTCATCAGATTTCTGACCATGCGATATAAACTCGAGTATAAACTATCGAGATCGATGAATTTTATTCACATGAAATCGGTATAGATAATAATGTTGTTAAAAAATAATAGAATTCCGTGGTCCGAATCATGACTGATGAAATCGATGGGCCATGAACGTTGAAATCGATAACCCGGCCACACGTCTATCAACCGTAATAAAAATACCATAAACGAATAATAATCCAAATGATAGAACTATTCCACAAATGATTTGGATGAACACGTCGTTAAGCAAAGTAACGATAACAATTTTATCAGGGAAGGCTTGTATAATGTCTGGTTCAGGATACAGATTTTTGAGAAGGTGTTTGCCAAAATTGATTCCTGGTCGGTCAGAAATAAGTCTGGTACAATAGCTGGTTTATTTCAAAAAATTTCATCTGCCAAATTTAAGTGAAAATTCACCAAATGAAACATAGCCAGAGTAAGCTATAACATGTTATAATAATTGTCGACGAGAAAATGTCATCACATGTAAAAATGTCAGATAGGCCTACAACCGACCTTACAAAATGCAATAACTGCTCAGTCGGGCCAGTGTTTAGTGTCTCATTCAAACTACAGTGTTATTTACATCGAAATGTAAATGACGAGCGATTGCAACAGTTTTGTTGCAAGTTATCAATTGAAATTAAATACTAAAAGCTGAGTAGAAAACGACTCAGTTTCGTTAACTGTGGCACTATCCTAATTAGAGCAACTGAGCAACTATGCTGTTACTCTTAACACTCCGAACACGATGCCTCCGAAAAACGTGTAACGGCAAGTTTACAATGCCATTGCTTAGCCGTTTCTTGATGAATTTCAAAAATTGTGGTACCTCTAGAATTCCTGCTTAGGGTCTGTAGATTATTTTGATTGTAAAACTAGAGCTCCGGGTTTTTTCGAAAACACGTGAAACTGTGATATAAGAAAGAATTTGGGGTCGTGACATAAACATGGACCGGAATGGCTATGGAACCACCATCGGGAATATTCGAAACATCCGTAAAAGTGTCTCATGCATGAAATCCTGGAGATCCGGAACATTTGTAAAAGTGGTCTATCTATGAACCTGATTCTAGAGCTCTGAAGTTTTTTTCGAAAACACGTGGAACTGTGATAGGGTAGAGAACCACTTCGGCCTAATCGCCCATTTTGGGTCTATTGAGCAGAAAACTTCGAATAAATCCATGATTTCAGAGTTAACAAGTCAATTATGCGTTTGGTACGATACTTTAGTTAATAAGCTACGGAACGAAGCCAATGAGAACGCGTGATATGAAGGTTTGCTCCCATTATTCCCAAAAACAAAAGAAGCCCTCCGACTGATTCAATTTTTATCTTCATCCGATAGGCTGAAGTGAATTCATTGGCGTTTAAATGGCATTTCAATGCGTTAGGCCTAGTTTAGAATCCGTAGGCCGAGTTTGGTGCCAAGAAGCAGTGTTAGACTTTTGACAATATCTCAACGATTGGTTTCTCTTTATCAAATCTTACGGTACGTTCAGAAAGGTAAATAAATTTGGAAGCCATCAGTAATAATAACATTCCGTTTGGTGCTAAACTGCGCTAGATTAAGAAATACTAAGTGCGGATTGTGCTTAATAGGCAGGAAATGGGGTAGTTAACCCTATAAGAAAGAATTTGGGGTCGTGACATAAACATGGACCCGGATGGCCATGGAACCGCCATCCGGAATATTCGGAACATCCGTAAAAGCGTCTCATGCATGAAACTGATTTCAGAGCTCCGAGGTTCTTTTGAAAACACTTGGAACTGTGATACAAGAAATAATTTGGGGTCGTGACCAAGGGGTTGGTCACTCAGCACAGTACGCCAAAAACACAGTTTGGAACACAGTTTGGCACCCATGATTCAGACTGGGGGCGGGGCCTCCCTTAGCTCAGTCGGTAAAGGCACAGCTACAAAGCAAGACCATGCTGGAGGTGGCTGGGTTCAATTCCCGGTTCGGTCTAGGAATTTTTCGGATTGGAAAATTTCTCGACTTCCCTGGGCATAGAAGTATGATTGGACTTGCCACACAATTATACCAATGCAAAAATGGTACAGGCATCGAAAGCTCTCAATTAATAACTGTGGAAGTGCATCTAGAACACTAAGTTGACAGCACGCAATAAGCTAATATGCGATATGCAATAAGCTTGAAATGCGAAGAAGAAGAAGAAGAAGAAGAAGATTCTAAACTTTCATAATCTTTGAAGCTACTGACAACACTTTAATATCTCTGCGATTGCGCAACGCATGTGTCACATGTAAGAGTAAACAAGATTTTTTTGAGGATTTTCCGTATATCTTCATCGTTATCTGGAATCAGTAATACTAATAAAACATAGGTAGCTGAGAGCTGTCCGAGCCGAAGCGGTTGGAGGAACTCGATCATCTTTTAAAGGGTCGCTCCTGTTTGTCCGGTATCATCTCATCCAGCTGAAGTGGCTTTAGATCACCGTCTTGGCTCGGATTTTACTGTTTGGTTGCGTCGTTTCTTCGTCTTAAAAGAAAACATTTGAAATGTCAATTAACCGGGTTGCCAAGCATGCAGTTTTTCACAAGCAAACAAAGTTGGCACTCTCTTCACTGCCAGTACAGCTGTGGCACACTGAGAAAATAGTTGGCACATAATAAGTGGGTATAGTGACCAGCCCTTGGCTGTGACATAAATATGGACCCCGATTGCTATGGAACCGTCATTCGGAAGATTTGGAACATCTGTGATTCATCCATGATATCGATCCTATAGCTCAGCGGTTTTTTTTTAAACATTAGCAACTGTGGTATAAATAAGATAGAATTTAGGGTCGTGACATTAACATGAACCCAGATGGCCAAGGAACCATCCCAGGATGTCCCATGGCCTTACGGGTCCATGTTTATAACCCCAAATTCTTTCTTATATCACAGTTCTTAATGTTTCAATCAGTGTCGTGGGTTGACCACTTATACGGATGTTCCTGATCTTCCGAAGGACTGTATTCTTGCTAATTGAAAACATTTGTGCACATTAATCAAAATTATAGATCTTAAGCCACTTGCAAAACTCATTAACACAACTTTAAAAAAAACGTGTAACGACTCCTTTTGCTTTAGAAAAAGTAGACGTACCTATTTTCAATCTTTTTACAATCAGAATAATCTTCAGACCCTAGGAATTTTAGAGGTACCACAATTTTTGAAATTCATCAAAAAATGCCTAAGCTATATGTCATTGCAAACTTGCCATTACACGTTTATCGGACGCTTCGTAGTAGGCGTAGTTTTTACCCACCGTATTCGGAGTGTTAATTGGGTTCTTTATTATTATTCTTGTCATTGATTTGTTTTCCGTCGAACTTGTTTTCCGTGCTGAGCACCAATGTTACCGACGCCAGGGAGGCAGCTCCCACACCTGGACCGTACTTATCAACCCATCAACTCATGAACCGGGGACCAACGGCTTTACTTCCCTTCCGAAGGAAGGCGTGATCAGAGATGTGAGACATTGGGTTCTTAATTTGGAAAAAAAATGTATCGGTTTTTATACATCATCTGAAAGACCTTCATTTTCTGAGCACAGCGATATTTTTTTTCGAACCCACACACTTTCATCTCGATTTTTAAATCAAGATTTAAAGCAAAATAATAACTTCACTGTTTGACACTAAACTGATACACTGACAGCTCGCTCCCATACAAAGTGTCACCATAGAGGTAACTCTAAGACTAGAAGGTCCCGAAATAACGTGCTCAACTTTTTGGCTCAGCTCAGGTACTCTCTTCGGTCCCAAGCTAATCGATTAACCCCTCGAAACATAGGAAAAACCACTTACCCCTTATTTTATCTGTCAAACTTTCATAGCGAATCGAAACAAACATTGCGTAGCACTAGAATTTCGACTAGAATGGAGTACGTTAATTGTTTGCTTGGGACCAATAGGCTAGTCAAGTAGTGAGCCAATTTAAAATCGTTAGTTTCGTATTGATTGTTGGTGTCACCGAGGGGCGTTAATAAGGTGATTTTTGCAAATGTAATCGTTCGCATTTAAAATAGTTCCTGTGTACCAAAATTGATAAAATTTTGGGTTTGGGCTCCATCTTTAATGCAGATTACGAATATGTTTTTACCTCAATACCCTTAGGCCGTTCGCAATGCTGTTGTATCTTATAAGGACTGTTTCAATTTGAAAGTAGAACAGAAACGCACCCCTCACAATGCTGAGTTGCAGTTTCATTATTGGAGCACTATTTTGTACCAGATTTGCAACTGCTCGACTATTCTGTTTTATTTCTGAGCGCATTTGAAACACGAATGGAACTCTGTTTCAAATTTCTTTGGATGTGTTGAAGATGTTTCGATGAGCTCCACAAACAAAAAACGGAGAACTTCATAGAGAACAGTAAAGTTTATGGAACTTGATGATTACAAGCATCTTTTAGAACTGTGCGTTGCGTTGACAGTTTCAAATTATAGAATTGACGAGTAGTTTAAAACAATTTGAAACTCAGCATTGCGAACGGCCTTAAAGAACCCAATTGAGTTTGAGTAGACCTTATAGTCCGCACATCGTTTTGATTTCGACCTTCAAAAACTGGGCACCGCAGTCCGAATCCCTTTGTTTTCCTTTTTCAATATTAACAGTAGAACCTGCCCTAAAGCGATCTGTCAAATCGCTGCATTAGTGAAAAAAAATATAGTCTCGGAAAAGAAAAACATATGCGTAAATTTATCAGTGAATTCAGTGACTTTTAATGTAAAAACTATTCTTCATTCAATAACCGACCACTGCAAGCCCGGACATCATAATGGCCTCGGAGGAGCCCCGCGATTTGACGCAATTCAAGCGCTACAAAACCAACGAAGAAGGACGGAAAACTTTTTCATCCATCGAACAGGTAATGATGAGTGCGACCTCGTGAAATTGCGTGAAATTATTTTCTGTTTAAAAATAGATCCCGGTATGGTAATTGGTTGTCATGTTTTTTTTTCTGCTTGCAGATCAAAACGGAAGCATCGATCGAACGGTTCTACGATCGCTATGAGCAGCTGGCCGCGCTGGATCCGTCCCTGCCGAAGCTGATGCGTACCGAACATGCTCGCTATCTGGAGATCTCGCTGGAACGGCTATCCACTGGGTACGAGTGTCTGGACAGTAGCCGGCCCTGGCTGGTCTACTGGATAATGAATGCGGCCAGCGTGCTGGGGGTGAAATTCAACGACAGTTTGCTCAATCGGGTGGTGGATTTTCTGATTAAGTAGGAGGAGATTGTTGGGAGATGTAGGGGGAGTTTTGATTACTAGTTTTGAATTTTTAGGTGTCGAGGTCAGGACGGTGGATTTGCCGGTGGTCCCGGTCAGGATCCGCATCTAGCACCGACCTATGCTGCCGTGAATGCCTTGTGCATTATCGGCACTGATAAAGCACTGAATGCGATTAATCGAAGGACGCTCAAGAAATTTCTGTGGGCCGTGAGGGAGCAAAACGGAGCTTTTAGGATGCATGTGGGTGGCGAACTGGACGTCCGTGGTGCTTATTGTGCTATATCCTCGGCAAAATTGGCTGCATTTTCTGCGGAAGACGAGGGAAAACTGTTCGAAGGTACGGCCAGCTGGATCGCCGAATGTCAAACTTACGAAGGAGGCTTCGGAGGCGCTCCGGATTTGGAGGCACATGGAGGGTACTCCTTTTGTGCGGCAGCTGCACTGGCCATTCTGGGTGGGGAAGACAAGTGCGATCTGAATGCACTGCTTCGGTGGGCAGTCAATCGTCAAATGGCCTACGAGGGTGGTTTTCAGGGACGTACGAACAAGCTGGTGGATGGATGCTACTCGTTCTGGCAGGGGGCGTTGATTCCGATCATTCAGAGCTTGATTGCTCGCAAGGAAAACTACCCGGAAATTATGAACACAGCCTTGTTCCATCGCTTTGCATTGCAGGAGTACGTTTTAGTCTGCTGTCAGAAGCCTGCCGGAGGTTTGATCGATAAGCCTGGGAAGTAAGTAGTCAATAATCAGTAATGAATTGAATGCAACGAATTCTTATTCCAGGCCAGCCGATCTCTACCACACATGTTATACGTTGAGTGGAACTGCTGTAGCTCAGCACTGTGAAACTAGCAAGCCGCCACTAATTCTGGGTCATCCGGATAACGAACTGCTGCCAACCCATCCGGTGCACAACATCCCACCCAAGGCGGTACTCGATGCCTACAAGTACTTTCTCAAGAACGAACTAATCGAAGCGGAACATACCAACGGTCAGTGCAATGGGGAAGATGCCGCAACAGCTGCTCCCGCTAGTGCCGACGTCGAAGTGGCAGATGTGGAAATGCGAGAGGCATCGATGGAATCGGAACGTTCGAACACGGCTAGTACTGGTGCCAGTACGACGACGACAAGATCTGAAACAACGGATTCGATGTCCGGTACAAGCAGCCAAAGAAGCTCGGAGGAGCGATCGGAATCGATCGATTGAAACTAGTTGCTAGTGGAATGTGAAGTGTCCATACGACGACAGATGGACCTGCCGGAAACAAGCTAGCTTTAAACAGTGTTGTTCAATCCTTTCTTATACCTGTCTGCTGATTTGATACATAATAAAGTACCGTATTTTTCTACACTATCGAGGTTGCTGTGCTTGGTATTGAACGTTACTGTGAGAAATTGCTTTGACTGTAATATCGGGAAGGACAGAATCACTCGGACATTTGAAATCTAATCTGACGAGTTGTACGCCTAAAGTTAGGCTAGGCAACAGTTCGCTCATCTGCTTAGCCCATAACCGCAAGTGAATTTGGGTGGGACTGAATTACTATTACATTTAACGTCAATGAGAAAAACAACGCCATGACGATGCTGCATTAGTTTAGCACAGTATTGAACAGTAGAAAGGTACCATGGTCTCGTAGATCGTTATTGAATGTTTTTGAAAACGTTCCGCTGGTTCCGGGGCCATGGCCGGAACATATGCTATGAATCAATGAGAATTCAAAAATAAGATCAATAAGAATCATGATGAGTAACCAGCACCATGTTGGTCACACCTAGGTATGTTCCGGATATCCCCGGGGAAGTGGTAAAACATTTTTAAATCACCCGAATAAAAATGTACACATTGGGCTAGTTTGATTTTGATGTCTGCATCAGCATCGAAATCAAATGTATTCCTGATGGCAAACATTAGAAAACATTGTGATTTAGATGTATGTATGCAAGGTAACATGTAACATGGTGTATACATCAGAAATTTTGGAACATAACTTTGCTATTCTAATGTCGTTCGGCCGTTAAGAATTTCAATCTTTTGACATTAGAACGAAACGTTTAAGGGATGTTTTCGGATGTACAAAACGTTGTTCGGATGTTTTCAATTGTAATTGTGTGTAATTGATTATTTCTAATGATAAAATGTGTTCCTCTTGATTTAGTTTACCTTAACCTTAACTGTTCCTCTTGTTAGTTAGTCCACCGTCTTGTGGCGTGCATTAGACATTGTTTCGTTGAGTTTCTTCGATACCCGGGATGGGATCTTTCGCTTCGCCTCCAGATCTCCCTCTAGATCGACCGGCTGTGCCATTTTTTCAATAATGAATGACACTTTCGACGGGGTTGCTGGCTTGTTTGATCCGCTGTTCGGATGTAAGTTGCAAGCCTTCCCCTTCACGGATCGCTCCAAAAGTTGCTGCCTGTTCCACAGGTGATCGGCCAATGTGGAAATAAACCGCCCGTTTCCCTCCGATCCTGCGGCACTTTCCAGGTGAGTTCCGAAAACGAGTTCTGGGCCTAACCAGTCTGAAAATAAAAATAAAAAATAAATAAGTTGTGCATGAAAAAAATAATAAGCAAATGAACTAAATTTAGACAAATGTGGTTCGAGTGGTTGAGAATGGCATTTCCCATCTCTTTAACTCTGAACAATATTTTGAAGTATAGGGTTTAGACCCGCACTTCACAGATAAATTCGGAGACACATTATTGTCGGATTTCGTGCTTACTACGGACTACACAAGACCCTGAGGTCGGGTACACTTCACCCCCGTACTAAGTGCACCATGTACAAGACGCTGATAAGACCATAATTTTGAAATGGTCATTGCTCACCCATCAAGCAGGGTGTATGAAAATAGTGTATCGAGGAGAAGAATGAAACAGGAACTGGCGCAACTCTATGACGATCTTACTATCCAGATAGTCACTAAAGCTGGAAGAGTACAATGGGCGGGACACGTTGTAAGAATGCCTAAGAATTACTAATTAACTTAGCTCAGCTATAACTTAATTTCAACTAAACACTAACTATTATTTCTTAATTTTAAGTTAACTTTGACTTAGTTTTATCGTAACAAGAACTTCCAAGAAGTTCCAACAACTTCCAAGAACTGAAGTTTACCTGTAATTCCCTGGAAATAACTTGAACATATCTTAACTTTAATTCCTCTGTGCTTTAACTAAACATTATCTCAACTTTATTTCAACTAAAACTAAACTATATCATAACTTATAGATAACTTGAACTTAACTTTAACATATCTTCAACTTAACTTTAACTAAACTGTATCTTAAACTTCACTCAACATTATCCAAACTTTAACTTAACTTTAACTTTATTTAAACTTAACTCAGTTTTTACCAAACTTTAACATAAATTTACTTTAACTAAACACTAACTTGGTTTCTGTTAACTGTTTCAGTTTCTCATACAACTTGATATGTTGTCTTCGATTTAACCCAAACTGTCAGGATCTGGCTTCGGATTCCCCATCGGGATCCGTCATCAGGATCTGATTTCCCATAGGGATCCACGTACGAATGCTCTATCGGGATTATTTGAATTCCCCATCGGGATTTTTCTTCGGATTCCTTCCCGGCATCCGTCTTCGGATTCCCTATCAAGATCCGTCTTCAGACTACCCATCGGAGTTCGTTATCGGATTCCTCATCGGAATCCGTAATCGAATTCCCCATTGGGATCCGTCATCGGATTCTCCATCGGGATACAACTTTGGCACCCAACTTATCATGATCTTTCCTCGACTTCCTTACCGTGATCCGTTTTCGGTTTCCCCATCAAGATCAGTCTTCAGATTCCCCATCGGGATCCGTCATAGGATTCTCCAGCTTTAAATCTCTTCCTTAATTATCAAACAGTTCAGTTCATTTTTCCAAAATAATACAAAAACACATTTCCAACGCGTCCTAAAGAATGCTTGACTCCTACAGAATGTCCGGTAAAACTATAATTAAACAATAACCAATAATGAAAAATAATCTTACTCTACGATTCCAAAACGACGAGCAATTTAATTCACGTCGCCAAAATATTCAGCTGAAACCTCACCTAAAACATTTTCACCAAACACCTGAAGGGATGTTGGCAATCATCCGGATCTCTTCCGGTAGACCAATTAAATAAAACAAGCTTACTTCCAACTTTCCCACGCCGAACAGTTCACTTCGCTTCACTTTCCCAACCCATTTCACGAGGACAGAATACATGTTTCACTATGAACTACTCACCAGGACATTGATTTTTCCGTGGAAGAATCCAGCTCCAGGTTGCTGGAAGCGATCTCAATATCTGGAAGTCAAATGGGAGAAATTAAACACCACAGCAACATAAGGCAGCATAAGGAAACTTACCAAAAAGTGAAACATCACTGGACTATCCATGATAAGCGCAGTTCCAAGGCATCCCCGCCCGCATAAACGCGAACCATAAATTGACCTTACCTAAAATGGTTAAAAATTGTTTATAATCCCTGCTAAACTTTAACTGAAATGGTTATGGAACTTTACATGAACGTTTAATGATAAAGTTTCAACCTTATGTATTATGGTTTTTTGGAACTGGACCTTACAAATAATGGGTTGTTAAGAACCATTACCATTCCAAATTCTTGTTTTCTCCATACATTTTCAGAAAGAGAACTATATAAGAACGTTTTTACTTATGATTTGAGAACATTAATGGTAATGGTTATGGTAGTCAGTAAGGTCCTTTAATGGTTTTGTATTATCGCTCAACTTTACGTGGAATATATAGTGAATTGGTAATCAGTAAATTACAGGCAACCAATTCGCGATATAGTCCACATAAAGTTGATCGATGTTACAAAACCATTCGTGGACCTTACTGACTACCATAACCATTACCATTAAAGTTCTCAAACCATAAGTTAAAAGGTTCTAATATAGTTCTCTTTCCGAAAATGTATGGAGAAAACAAGAATTTGGAATGGTAATGGTTCTTAACAACCCATTATTTGTAAGGTCCAGTTCCAAAAAACCATAATACATAAGGTTGAAACTTTATCATTAAACGTTCATGTAAAGTTCCATAACCATTTCAGTTAAAGTTTAGCAGGGATTATAAACAATTTTTAACCATTTTCGGTAAGGTCAATTTATGGTTCGCGTTTATGCGGGCGGGGAAGCTGGTATTGAATCCGGATGATCTTGGCCACCAAACACGAAAAAAAAAATGAGGAATAAAATGGTGGAACCAATTCACGAACACGCGTGTTTATGTTAATAATGACAGATTGATCAGACAGTCTGTCATCGGCTCAGTGACTATGTGCTTTATGTACCTATAGGTGATGCAGTACCTCTAACGAATGTATTAGTAAGCGGGGCAAACTTTATGGGTGGTAGTGTGGTCCCGTGTACCCGAAGCTTCAGGCAGCGGAGACAATAAAGTTGCGACGTCACAATCACGATTTTTGTTCGGAGAGTTGGTTGTTGTGTCGTCACCACTTTTCTTCTACGAAAATGTTTCGTAGTATTGCTCTCAAACACAAACAAACACTATCATGTGCTACTCCTGTATGTATATACACGGAGATGAAAAACTACCCAAAATTAAGTACTTTTCCCTCAATTCCGGGGTTCAGCCCAATAACCCAAATTTGAGTAAATCGCATATAGTAGTTTCCATTTGACACCAGCAAAAAAAATAACCTACTCTTAAGTATATTCTACCCAAAATTAAGTTTAATTCACGTAAATTTGAGAATATGCATTTTACTCAGAAGTAGCTTATTGGGCTGAACTATATCGTTGGGTCGAATCTCTTGTTCCTTTTTTGACAACAATAACGAGTGCAAGTGAGAGGCTGAAGTCAATATTAAGTAAAAAGAACTCAAATTTTGGGTAGTATTTTTTCTCCGTGTATGTCATTGGCTCACTGTCACATTAGAAATACTCGCAGATGGGCGGAGAAAACAAAATACAATTCGGCAGCAGAGATTTCTCGCCTAACTTTTCAAAAGGTCCTAAGTAACAAATGTAAACAAATCGAGTTTATAAATGCACATTGTAACATTTGTACCTAAGAGCATTATGCACACACACACATTCAGATTAATGTCAATTGAATTGAGAAAATTCTAAATTAACAAAACGTCTGAAGTCCAAATTTGCATTAACGATGTTTCACTGTTACATAAGACGTTTGACTATGTTCATCAAGACAAACGTCTGAAGTATCAGAAAAACCAAAACAATGCAGATCTGTACTTCGGTCCTTGGTGTTTAAACGAGTAAAACGTCTAAAATGTTCAAACAAACCAAAACAATGTTATTGCGCACATCGGAAATTTCACGTCAAGCATTTTTCCCCTATTTCCGCGTGGGGGGGGGGGGGGGGGTTGTCAATTATCCACGGCCCATACAAATTTTTAAATTTTTATATGGGCAATTGCCTACGCATGGGGAGGGGAGGGGGGTGTCAAGAATACCGAAAAGCTGTCTACGTAGTTAATGAACAGCCCCTAAAATAACACTGTTATCAAATAAAAAGCAGCTCACGCGACCACCAACGATCGACCAAAACAATCGGTGGGCAGTGTTGCGATATACCGTTAAAAAAAAGTTGATGCATTGTCCAATACTCATATTGTTCGTTTAACTCGTATAGCTTAAATTTATAATTTTATAATTTATATATTTATAAATAGCCAGAACTCATAATGCTTAAAACAAACAAATAATGTTGAAAACATAAATGACCTTTGTAACTGTGATTATAACAAAACGTCCTATATAACATGTCCAATGTACACCTGACAAGAGCAAAATGTCCTATGTAACATTTTTCAGGTTTTCATAGAAAAAAATGTATGAAACGGGTAGATTATAATTTCAATTTAAAGTTTACTATCGCATTTTTCTATTAAAGGTCTTAAAAATGTCAAAAGTTGATTTGGTTTAAAATAGTATCAAAACAGATTTTGTCAATCTTCAACCTCGTTTTTCTCGAAAAGAGTGAAATGTTAGATAGGACCTTTTGAAAAGTTAGGCGAGATTTGTATACCTAAATTATCTTGCAACCCTTGCTAGAAGCTAGCATTTCACATGACTTTTATTTTTGATTCGTTTTACGTGCAAAATAATAATTGATTACATCGCAATATTTTGCCCATTTATTGGTGCCATTTATTAACCAACTAGGATCAATGAATCAATAGAGTTAGAATATTGTTTTGATTCAAAAAACTAGTTGAATTTGAGAAGCACATGAAGCATAAAGGTGATTGAATTTATGTTCGATTGCAATACTCTCAAATTTATTCTAGTAAGAATAAGAAATCCCCGGAAAAAATCTAATGGGAATGTTCGATTGGCTCAGATTTCGACAGTTCATTTGGCTCAAAACATTCTCTCTACCCACACGTTAGTAAAAAAGTCCCCAACGGTCAGTTTATTTTTACCTACGTTTGAATAGTTTGTCTTCTTTTCTCCTTCTAAGGGCATCTCCACCGCGGGGCGCTAAATAAATGGCATGAATCGTATTCAACTAACCGCAAACAATTAATTAAATTCAACGACATTTCTTTCATTCTCAAAAAACTTAAATTGCTTATTTATGCCGACGACATGAAGCTCTTTTTGGAATTAAGAAATGAAGAAGACATCAATATATTCCTGAATAAAATACACATATTCTACATATGGTGCAAAAAAGTCTACTAGAATTGAATGTAAAAAATGCAACTTAATATCATTTAGCAGGAAAAGAACAACTTCAAATATTTTAATTGCACTAGGAATTCAAAATGTAAAAAAATGTGAAAGAGTTAGGTATTTAGAAATCATCTTATAGTACGCCTTGGTTAAAACATGTTATAGCGCTATCTTGATGGTGGTTTCTGTGTTGCAATTATTTGACAACCGTTATAACATGTTATAACCACAAACGAAGTGACAGACGACTAACTGGCGAAGAAATTAATTAAAATTATGTGGTTCGCTGTAATAGAATTTTCTTAGAAGCTTGTGCCATCATCCACCAGATGGGATTGTATTTTTGTTTTGGTTTTGCACAAAGTTGATTTCGTATACAATGATTCTTTGACAGTGTGCAAAGAGTGTATCATTTTGTCAATTTTTTATGCATTTCAGTTTTGAGTAGAGTGAAAGAGATAGAATCAAAATATTCTAGTACATTTGGTGAAAATGCTAGTTCAATCCAATAGTAGTGTTGCCATGTGGTACAATCCAGTAGTAGTGGTGTTGCCATGTGGTACACTGAAAAATAGCAATAGCAGGTTAGTCACCAAAGTTTTCGAGCCGCTCCGTCTGTCTACGTCTTTGATTTCTATAAGGGGGTACACTTTGTGAAAACCGAGAATGGAACATGAACACCCCAAGCGTAAGCGGCCATGGATTTCATCTACGTTTTGAAGTGACAGAGACGCACTCTGTTTGGTGTCGAAGGTTAAATCATCACCAACTTTGGCAACAAAACGGCTCTTTTCAGGGCCACCAAGCTTATTACAGTAAAGAGTAGGGATAGAATTCATCTGCCTGTTTGTCTCTATTCAGAACCAACGATCACACAAAATGCTCTTGTAATCAAACTGGAAGCAGGGGTACAAATTATTTTGATCAACCTTGATCAACTTTGAATCGCCAAGGCCGGATATTTTCGATGGAAGAAGTAACAATCTAGCATCTAATTCGACGAAGACGGCAGGAAACATTTGTGAAGCCAAGTTATTTACGAAAGAGAGTGTCGATGAAGAGAATCGATCAATGTAGATAGGACCTATTGAAAAGTGACGCGAGATTTGTTTTCCGTACACTGAAACAAATCGACATGTACCGTTTATTGGATCCATCTTATAACATAGCAATGTCAGGAGATTTATTCATTCTATGTGATGATTGATAGATTCCAATGGATTATCACTTAAAAACTATGACTGCGATATGGAATGATTTCTATCGTAATTTCACATACTTAGTACTTGATAATACTTTGCTTCGAACGTGGTTAGCGATAGGTAAGATGTATATATATGAATATTGTCTGATATATTTCATGGTGAAAAACTGTTGCTATGTCATGGGTGGGAACAGGCATCTAGAAACTAATGGAAAAACATATAAGTTTGCACTATGAGCAAATCGAGTAAAATGTACCTGTTTTCATGATGAATATTGCTCACTAAAAGATATATGATATAAGATAATCATGTATATTTTATTGGAGTTGCTTTTAACGATTTTTGACGTTTGTTGATATGTCGCGTGTAAACAGACATGTAGCAACTATTGGACTGTCATATAACTTTGCAGTATAGGAAAACATGTATATCTCATTGGAATAGCTTCCTTTGATTTTTGAGGTTTGAATATTGTAAAAAGATCTATCCCAATCATTAAATAGTCATATAGATTTGCCTTTTAAGAAATCCAACAGCAAACATTTGTTTTGGTATGTTTTTCTGGGATGAACATCGCTCCCAATAAAATACATCTTACATAATTGTTCTTTATAAATTATTGAAACAATTTTCAACTATGTTATCGTACACTCATTAGTCGATTAGATTAGTCGAACTAAATATTGCTAACAACAATGATATGATCATTTTTTGTTATTGTTTCATAAGATATGTTTTGAGATTGAAAAAAAAAATGATTCTACTGCAATATTTATTTGCTAAGATTCTAATTGTAAGCCTTCTACACGGCTAATTCAGATTCCAGCACTAGTACTCGAACTTCATGAACCAGTTCCATGAACTCATATAATGTAGTCGTTGTTTTATTGCACACAGGAGCATTAATTATGATTTGAATACACGACGCCACTGAAACGGAGCATATATTGGTCAGTGCTATTTTTCGTCACTCTAGCAAAACGAGCATAACGTTGCTCTATATTCCATGTTGGGAGAGCTGTTATTACTTCATGCTAATTGAACGAGCTCAATATTGAAGTCAGCCGTGGCCCAATGGAATCGAGCGCAGACACGAAAAGCATCACAGCTCAACAGTTCTGGATCGAATCCCAAATCAACTACAATAAAAAAAAAACACAACTGTGAAAGCTCCCACTGCCTGGTGTTTATTTTTCGATTTATTTCTAGAAATCGATTAAATATATGTGTCAAAAGAATAAGTAAATTTCATGTGATTTTCACATAAACTTTACTTCGATTGATTTATGACACATATATTATATTGTGGTGAAAAGTAAAGCTTATGCTTATGGGTTTCAAATCCATTTCAGTTAATTATTATAATTTGACCGATTTTCATTTATCATATGGCGATCATATAAAAGTTTTCAAATTATCAGCATTGTCAATGTTTCAGATATTCATATAGAATTTACCTGCCACATTTTCAATCATATCATTTTCAATGGATTATCTTATAGCGCAAAATTATTAGACTTCCACATAACAGGAATATGTCAAATTGGTTCAGTGTACTGAGCTCCAATGCTACCAGGCCACCCTAATAAAAAATAACCATAAACGAACGATAACCCAAATCATTGAACTATTCCACAAATTGTTTGGATGATACCCAGAACACGTCGTTAAGCAAATTGACCATACAATTTTTATTAGGGCAGTGACAAGGCCTATACCAACAGCAGCGTTTGACAGTAGGCAGCATGTCCCGGGCTCAAATCATTTATTTTGCTGTGCTGGGCCCGCTGTCACTGTATAACATGTTGCCTACGCGCCTGCCACTGGGCTGAATGCTACCGACGCCAGGGAGGCAGCTCCCACACCTAGACCCTACCAATCGACCCATCAACTCAACCGGGCCCAATGGCTTTACTTCCCGAAGGAAGGCATGATCAGAGATGTTATGCCGGTGGCGCCGACTGAGATTGGACCCAGGCCTGCTGGGGTTAGAGGTAATCACGCTAACCACCGGCGCCGATATCTTTCAAGGTGATATCACGACGAATGAAAACGACCCAAATTTGAGATTAGTTATCTCAGAAATAAGAAATAAAGTGCAGGAGCTCAGCGATGAGTAAATTTGCCTCATGTTTTCCCAGGTTTTTCCAGGATTTTCCAGGGAAAAAATCCCGAATTTGAGAAAAGTAAAGATTGGATTCACTCAGTGTCGCTGACAGACCACATGTAGATCGTCCAGTCTGGAAAATCCTGTGTTTATTATGTCTAGACTTTTCGAATGACGTGGCAGACCAATGAGCTGGATTACCGAGGTGAAGCAATCACTCACACAACCACTGTACGATACACGCAAGTACACGCAAGTAGTGACGTCACTACTTGCGTTTACGTTGATTTTTTGGTTTACTAATACAACCCTATTTCACGATCTGCGCCACCTCTCTCTGTACCTCATTGGTGGCAGACAGGGAAATAAAATCAGGCAACAGAAACATGTGAAATAAATCGGCCTTTGTTATTTTTCAAAATACACCATGAGCGGGTAGCTCGAATAGAGAATAAGCATAGACGAGATAATAAAACCCAGCCGTTGTTCCCGATGAGGACGCCGTAAGATAATAGTACACAGCAAAAAAAAATGTAATATCGATCAACGTAATTCAAGCTGATGTATGAAATAATGATGTAATAGCAAAAAGTAGATACAATATTACATCAATGGATGTAATTTTGTTCGCAAAATCTATGTACATCGTACAATGTGATATTACACAACCGATGGATTGACCTGGTTGCATCAGTTTCGATGTAATATTCAACAACTTTTTTTGCTGTGTAGGTAGAAAATTTGTATTGTTTAGCTTTAAGAAAATCTATATAAACCTATATTTTTTAAGAAATAAATCAGTACACTAGAAAAGTTCACGGTGAGAGGTTGATTAAGGAACTAAAAGAACTCCTTTATTTTGTTTAAATCAGTTTGGTGTCGACTGACACACTCAGTCTATTGGTAGTACTCCGAGACTGAATAAAATTTTCGTCAATTTCCTCATTTTCTGGCAGATTTTTTAGGTTTTCCACAGGAAACCATGAGACAAGTTTACTCATCGCTGAGTTCCTGCACTTTTTTGTGATTATGAGTGAACTAAACTAAAAAATTAGGTCGTTCTCATTCGCCGTGTAGAGATTGCTATAGTGTGATTGTGACAGTGATTTGTTTTCATCAGGAAAATTTTCCGCTATGAAGTTTTTTTTTTCCCGATGAAAACATTTTGCGTATACGTATACGTGACGTAGTGTGCGTACGATAAACGTCAGCAATCTAATAGTGCGAGCCTAACAAAATCTAGAACAAAACAAAACAAAAACGTCGATGTAACGGACCTATTCGGACGTGTTTGGTACAATCAATCGCGAAAATTATTGGCAGCATAATGGAACAGTTCGTATTGGAAAATAATGGCCGCAGAATGATCCTCAATCACTCGATGCGGGCACAGGAAATCATGACCACCGGTAAGTGTTTACATTGTTGATTATTTTTTCCAGGAATGTTGTTTATATGGACGAACTTTTACAGATTGCTTGCATCAAGTAAAATTCTTCCCGAGTACTCTGCTGAATCAGCAAATCACTCCGCTGGATGCTGGAAATTTCCTACGTGTTCGTTTTGCAGCTGAGATGAACCGGGATAACAACGCTTCGGAGTCAAGCCGCATGCAACAGATGACCAAACTGGCAAAGGGAGCCGTCCAATGGACGGGATGGACGTTTGGTGTCATTGCTGGAGCCAGTTACAAAGCTGCAGCCGTGACTGCCAACGTTGGGAAACAAGCTTACCGGAAAATCGCCGACAGCCCAGTACCAGGTCTGGTAGTGCGCTTCCCCGGAGTACTGATTGGATCTGCCGTCGCTATTCAGCTCTGGGGCACGGTTATGGGTAGTTGTGTCACCAGACAGGTTCTACGGGCCACATGTATTCGCCACTTCATCGGCATCCACAGCTGGTTGCATCTGCCTGCTTCATTGAGGGCTACTGCCGTACTGACCGGTGTCCGTACCAGTCAGTATATCACAGCGGGCATCGTTCCCGGACTGTTCACAGCTTGGGCTATCTATGATGGGTACCGTTTGGCCTCGTTCGTCTACAGTCAGTACCATGAGCATTACAACATGAATTCAAAACTGTAATCTTCCGTTACCGAGCTGCTACCAATAGCTTGAGTATTCACTTATGGACAAGCGTTTGACTAATTCATATTAAAAATATCGATTATCTTGCGTTAAAATAATCAACTACATATAAGAAGACTGGATATTATCTACACTACTCTACTAACATTAATGTTAAAAATAACGGTCATGAAGACGATTCATTTGAAATTTGGCCTTTGACTTCGATTATTTTTTTTAATAAAATAAAAATCTGTTGCAACCGCAGATGTTTTTTAGCTTAAAAACTCAGAAGCAGCATTTGAATAAACACCTGATTTAAAACCGATTATCTACGGGTTCCCCCTAGGATATTGCTTAGTTACGCCAATGATTTCAACTTGTTTTTTGTTTTCAGAATTATTGATATCGGCGAACAAAATGGGCTGAAGGGTCTCAAAATGTTATGAAGCTTTGCCCACAGAGCCACAACACTTGGCGCCCACTGATGTGGCGTTGCTGTGACATCTGCCAGCATGTCAAAACATCGGCACACACCACACGACTTTGACAATGTCATTTCCATTTAAGTCTATACTACTTTTGTATCAATTTCACTCTTTACTTTCAGTATCACTTTGAACTATAACAGATACGTATTTCGTTTACTACTTGCAAACTTCTTCATGAATGTCATGATGTTTTGATATGCTAGCAGATGCTACACCTCCGCCACATCAGTGGGCGCCTGGCCTAACTTTATGCGAAGACAACAGAGAAGTTCAACGATCATCGGGGGTTGACAGAAACGTTTTAATTTAAGTTCCGTAATTTTCAAGTATGGTGGGAGCAGTGGTGTAGTGTGACTGCCTCTCCAAAGGGCCTGGGTGCAATCCCAGTCGGTGCCGTCTTGATTTTCTGTGGAATAAAATTTCTGATCACGCCTTCCTTCGGAAAAATAAGCAAATACACAAACCTTTATTCTGAGGTTAGAATCTTTGATATCCAATTAATTATATGATTTGAATAGTAGCTATATTGAAGATCCGAGAGATGTCGCCCCTTCAATGGTAGGAAAATCATTTTTGCAGCATGGAGATTTGTGACTAAACATGCTTTCACAGAAGGAAACAAATAAACAAGTGTTTACCTTATCACCATAGTAATGTACTCGTGCAATTTTTGTGCATCTAAAACTGCCCATAAAGACGATAATGAATAAAAACTGAAAATTTTCATGCATTTCCAAATGGTTTCCTACCATTCCCATACATTCGAAAAACAATGTCCCTCTGGATGTGGATGATGTCAAAAACAACAAAACGTGATTAATTCGTTCGGAACATTTACCTTTGAGCGGCAGATAACGCGATTCTGCTAAAGCCCTCTAGTTAAAGCACTTCGTTTGTGCTTGTAGGACGACGTCGCGATTAATCAATAATTGTTATTGCACAGGATTGTTATTGTTTCTGTACGCTTCAAATTTTCAATATTTTCCGTGTTTCTTTGCCACTACCTACTGTTTTTTGTACTTTGTTTTAATCCCTAACGTGTATAAAGTGCGTGGAAAGTGGAGTTCTACGCAAATACTGAATATAAGGTGCTATTTGTGGTGTTGTGGAATCGCAACAATACAGAAATTCTCGACCGGCCATTCCTTTCATCGGTTTCGCTTACCTCGCTGAAGAAAGATCGGAGCGCCATCATCTGAACGCCGGAGTAGGGAAATATCGAATCACCGTCGCGCCACCTTTATCCGAACGTTCGAAGATTCGTAGCACTTACGACTGCATCATTAGGCTCTGAACCATTTGGTGGATTATTTTAACTTTTGGTTAACTTTGGAAAGTTATCGATGAACCCTGCTATCCGAGCATGGTTATTTTTGACAGACAAGAAGTTAACTTTTTACAACCATGGGTCGAAAATCGGTCGATCGACAGCACGGGGATTTTCGAACAACGAAAATAACTTTCGAAATGTCACTTTTAACCACGAGTTAAATTTAACTCGGCAAATGGTTCACAGCCTTAGTAGTGCCCTCGGTAGTGCCGCTGCTTGCGATCACTGTGCGAAGACCGTGAAGGATGAAGAATTCATCGAATGTATGGGGTTCTGCAATCAGGCGTACCATTTGAGATGCAAACTGATGAAGTATGCTCGCTTCAAAAATGTAGTTTCTTCCTTCGGCAATGTTATCTCCACGGTTATCGGAAACCAACTGACCGGTATTTCTGAGTTGAAAAACGAAATGGTGAAGAACAATACTCAGGTCGCTCAACTTGCCGACATGGTAAATGCTTCAACTCCCTGTGTTGCTGGTCCAAATCGTGATCGCCCATCGAAACGCCGCCGAGATGACACGGAAACACCGATCAAGACGACTTCTGGAACAAGGTGATTGGTAACTGCGAACCACTAGCTGCTAACCCTTCCTCGAGACTGTTCTGGGTTTATCTGTCACGATTTCATCCTAGCGTAAAGCAAGATGTGGTCGAAAAGCTCGTTCGTGACGGCCTACTGCCTACTGAACCAGTTAAAGTGATCTCATTGGTGAAAAAAGGTGCTGACCTTAGATCGATGAATTTCATTTCTTTCAAGGTCGGAGTTCCTCTGGATCTCAAAGAGGAAGCTTTGGACCCTGGAACCTGGCCACAGGGTTATTACTGTTGAAGACAATCATATTCGGGATCTCGAAGACATCTCCACTACGGTGTCTTACAATTTCCGGAAAGCCGATCATCGTAGCATTGCCGATGTGCTGTCAAGCATTGATTGGGAAAACATACTCGATTCTGATAACGTCGAAACTGCTGCTAAAACTTTTTCACATGTCTTGGCTTATGTCATTGACAGACACGTACCTAAGAGCGTTCACCAGATTGCATCGCACCTCCCTTGGCAGACGAACGAATTGAAGAAGCTGAAAGCGATCAAGAGTGCTGCATTTAGGAAATTCACTAAATATCGAACGATGTCACTGAAACGTCACTACGTTAAGCTCAATTATCAGTTCAAACGAGTCAGCCATCAGTGCTACTTGCATTATCTGCGAGGGATTCAAAGGAAATTCAAGTCGCACCCGAAGTCTTTCTGGAAGTACGTGAAGGAGCAGCGCAGAGAGTCCGGTCTACCATCATCCATGATATTGAACGGCGAAGTCGCTTCCACTCCACAGGAAGTCTGCCGCTTGTTCTCCAACAAGTTTGCAAGTGTCTTCTCTGACGAGAGCTTATCCAACGAATACGTGACTCTAGCAGCAAGCAACGTTCCACTTTCCGGTCAAGCTCTGGGTGGAATTGTTGTCAACGCTGAAGTGATAACGACTGCCGCACTAAAACTAAAGCCTTCTATCAACCCTGGACCGGATGGTGTCCCTTCAGTCTTTCTGAAGAAGCATATCGCTAACTAACTGTCACCGCTACAACATCTGTTCCGATTGTCTATATCGTGTTGCATTTTTCCATCGAACTGGAAATTTGCGCATATGTTCCCTGTGTATAAAAAGGGTAGTAAACGGAACGTGGATAATTATCGTGGAATTACAATCGTTGTGCGAAATTTCGAAGTTATTCGAGTTAATCATGTTGGAGTAAATCGGTAACGCAGTGTGCTGATCACCTCCTTGGAGACCGAACGTCACCCCTAGCAACCTAAGTTTTCTTAAATAAACAACGGTGAAAAACTATTCATTCCTGTTCAAGACTCCACTCAAGCTAGTCGTTAAATAAAATCCATTCTACTTTTAAACTTTGCTGTTCCGGTTCTTTCTAACCATCAAGAGGTTATGGGCGACTCACGCAAGGATTTGGTCCACGGGATCCCGCAGTTCTCGGGCACCGGTTTCGACAATTGGCAATTTCGAGTGGAGAAGTATCTGAAGTCCGTGAAGCTGTTGGATATCATCAAGAAGGATCCTCCGATGGAAGCGGCCGAGCTCACGAAGTTCCAGGAAGATGACGGTAAGGCGGCGTTCCTGCTGACGTCATTTGTTCATGACGATTTGCTGCATTTGGTGCGGGACAAGGAGACGTCCAAGGAGATGTGGATGAGCCTTGAATCCGCCTACGCCAAGAAGTCCGTCTCGTCGCAGACATTCGTCAGGAAGCAACTTGCGAAGCTACGAATGATGGAAGGTTCGTCTGTGAAAGATCACCTGAAAACCTTCGAAGAGCTGATCCGACAACTGAAGCTGGCCGGAGCGAAGCTTGAAGAGAACGATATTGTGTCCCAGCTGTTTGCTACCCTTCCCGAGTCGTTCGATCCGTTGGTTACGGCACTGGAAAATCTAGGTGAGGAAAACCTAAAACTAGATGTTGTTCGCGAGCGCCTTCTTGCCGAGGAGCTCAAGAAAACCGACCGGGCAGCGGATTCCTGCCAAGAGAAACCTGCAGCATTCCAAGGATCGAAGCAGAAGCCTGGTAAGTTCACCGGAAAGTGTAACCGTTGCCAGAAGAAGGGGCACAAGGCCAAGGACTGTCGTGTGAAGTTGAAGACAGATGGGCGCGCTGAAGCTAACGCTGCTGCTGGAGGTAAGGCGGTGGCTTTTATGACCGGGAGATGCTCCCAAACAAAGGACGAGGGAGCAGTTTCCTTTAAGCTGGATTCCGGAGCCTCGGACCACCTTGTGAATGTGAAGCACTGTTTCGCCGACCTCACGAAGCTGAAGCACCCTGTCGTCATAAACGTGGCGAAGGATGATCAATCCCTGATTTCCCGGCACAGTGGCACGATCAACGGCGTCAACAAGGAAGGTAACTATATCAGCTTGAAGAACGTCCTCTTCGTACCAGATCTTCGAGCGAACTTGCTATCTGTGAAGAAGATGGCAAAAGCGGATCTTGATGTCACATTCACGAAAAAGGAAGCGATCATGAAGCAAGGTCGTGACCTGATTGCGAGATGTCCCATGCGGGGCGATTTTTACGAGCTCGATCTCCGTGTCGATACGGTGGCGGCCAACATGTGTGGAGCTGTGACTGGTAACCTGTGGCATCGTCGACTGGCTCATTTGGGGAGCAAGAGTTTGCAGACACTCGCGAAGCATGGCATGGTAACAGGTATTCCCGAGAAACCAGATAAATTGGATTTTTGTGATGTTTGTGTTCTCGGAAAGCAGTGCCGAGAACCATTCACGGGTACTAGAGTCCGTGCTACAAGACCTCTAGAACGAGTGCACTCCGATGTGTGCGGTCCAATTACACCAGCGGCTTGGGATGATTCTCGGTACTTCGTCACCTTTATTGATGATTACACGCACTTTGCAGTAGTATATCCCATCAAGAAGAAGTCCGAGGTGTTCCAGAAGTTTCGAGAGTACGA